GTTTCCTCACTGAAACCATCTGATCTCTGGCAGCAGCTGGAGAAGCGCTCCGCTGCCCTTCAGCAAGGCAGCACATCAGCTGAGTTTATTACAGCAACAGTGTGAGTGGGTGAGGAGGGGTGAGGAGGGGTGAGGAAGGGTGTGGTGGTTCACTCTGATAAGTCTACAGCTGCTGACTCACTCACTCACTCAGGCTGTGATTCTAGATCATTTTAAACTCTGGTAAAGTCAAGGGAAGGCAGACCTCCAGAACCAGAACCAGAACCAGAACCCCCCATTCCCCGCAGCTTCTTACCTTGGAGCTGTTTGAAGCGTCCCTCCAGCTGGTTGTAGTTAAAGGCTGCCTGTCCTGAGAGGCCGGGACTGGGAGCCCGACCCGGACCGGCCGGATGGGACGGCCCGGGGATCCCGGACGGGGACAGAGGCCCCGCATAGTCCGATACGGGGGAGAGGGGTGACAGGGAGCCGGGGAGGGCGGCGGTGGGGCTCTGAAGCTCCATGGTGAAACTCCAGAGAGGGGGTCAGACGGGATGAACCCCCAGAGGCATGAAGGAGGAAGTCCAGGGAAAGTCCAGCAGGGAGGGAAGGTCCGATCCTTCACTCACTAATCAGCAGATCCAGGAGAAACGGGTCAGAACCAGGCTGTTAAAGCAGAGGGCTGGGTCCAGATCAGAGCTGCTTCCTCTCTCAGCAGGACTGAGCTCCACAGAAAGGAGGGCCACACCACCTCCCTCCCTCCCTCCCTCCCTCTCTCTCCCTCACTAGGGGTGAGTCAGAAAACGCTGGCTCAGCAGACGCTCCGCGGCCACGGCAACATCACACCTCGGATTCCCTCCATCCATCCATCCATCCGTCACCGTCCTCAAAGATCAGCTTCTCTGTGGGAGGGGGGGGACGCTCCCAGCCTCTAATCAGGAGCACAGCGCTCCTCCAGCTGGAGAGGAGGAGCAGGAGAGGAGCGCAGGGAGAGACGGTGGAGGCAGAGAATGGGAGCGTGGGTCGGTCCTGCAGAGATCAGCAGCAGCAGCTCAGACGCTGCTCAAAACACCTTCAGATGCAGCCGGGGGGGGGAGGGGCCGCATGCTGAGGCGTCCAATCACAGCCTTCAGCTTCTAAATGATGTCACTTGGTTAGCATAAAGGGCGGGACAGAAGGAGGGCAGAGGGGAGGAGGAGGAGGAGTTTCTGATCTGACCTTCGTCCCACAGGTTGGATCTGCTGTCTTCCACGTTTAATCTCCTCATTCTGAACTTTTACTTTAATAAAAAATAATTATTTACAGGGAAAAAAAGAGTAAAAGTTTTTAGTTCAGCAGCTGAACCTCCATGTCTCTTTTTATCCAACCTACAATTCATTAAATATTTGCTTATAAATATGTGATTTTTTTTTCTAATTCAAAATATATTTTAAAGGATGTGATAATTTCATGGTTGGTTGTTGATAAACGTGGGTTTGATTCCCCCTGATGCTGCAGCAGAACCGTCAGAGAGCTTCGTGTCATCGCTCCCTCTCATCGCTCCAAACATCCCAGAAAAGCTGGGCTCTAATATTAGAAGGATCTTCTTCCTGTCAGGACTTCCTGCTCCATCTAACAAACAAGCAGGCGCAGAAGGGAAACCAATCCGAAGCTCTTGGAGCTTCACTTCCTGCTTTGCTGATCTGACAGACAGGAGGAGGTCAGAGGCGACGACATCCAGACAATACGAGGAACAAGCCTTCATGTTAACCTGAACAAACACCAGTCATGCTGCAGAGTTCAGCCTGAGATCAAATAGGCTGAGAGAGCCTGGAGGTCAGAGGTCAACGCCTCACCCATCCACACCTCTGGATAAAACCTGCTGTTAATATTTAACCTGCAGCAGGAAGGCCTGGATCTGACAAACCAGGTTCTCATGGAGACCAGAGCTGGGAGGATGAAGCACCATCAGAGTCCATCTATGGTAACAGAGTCTGGAGTCGGCACAACGACAGGGTGGTAAACATCAGATCATCAAAGCTCAGCAGTATGGGGCGTCGTTTGTAAAGTTAGGAGCAATATCTATGATTATTTATCATGTTTTAAGAGAAATAAAAAGGGATTATATTTTTCCCCCAAGTCATTTTTTCACTATGTCATTCATTTCTAATTGACTTTGTTAAATAAATATTTAGTTTATTAAATAAATATTTAGCTCCAAATAAAATAGTTATTTCAAAAACTAAATATTTATATTCCATGCTGACATTGTAGGCGATAGCTTAAGAGCAGCCTTTAATGCTATCTTAGACACTATTGGCTTTGTTCAAAATGTGAATAGTCCCACACATTCTCATCTTCATACTTTGGATCT